GAAATTTTGTTTTAGAAATGAATCAATGATCTTGTACCATGGAAGATTTTTTTCCACAATAGTATATGTTGTAAAAGGACTAGAGTGTTACCAGGGATAAAGAGTGCCTTTGTATAATGATAAAGATGTCAAATCACCAAGAAGACTTAAAAAAATGCTGAAATTTATACATCTAACAACAAAGGCTCAAAATACATGAGATAAAAGCTGAAAAAACTGAAAGAAAAAAATAGATAAACCCACAAAATAAAATGAAAGACTTTATCACTTGTTAGGTCCAGAGCTGAAAGAGAGAGACACATGAAGCCTCATGTGTAGCAAAATGCTGTTTATTTTGAGCATTTGGGTGCAGACGGGTGGAGGCCAAAAAGCATCCATGAAAGAAAAGGGAAGAGCCTTGGGTTTTATAGAGGGTTTTTTGGGGGGGAGTAAGTAAGTGGGCCAGAATGGCCATTTGTAATTAATTCTTTTGCAAACAACCAACTCCTGAGACCCCTGCCACAGTCACAACCATCCTGCAGCTCTGGCATCATCCTTATCAGGAGAGCAAGAGAGGGATAAACTTTGTCTCTATCAGGGGGCGAGGGGGAAGGCATGCTGGCTGCAGCTGTCTGTTAGATTTACAAAGTCCGGGGACTCTCCAGACTCCTGCTGCTATTGTTTTACAAGCCTAAGTTTGTATTAACCACATTCTGTCCTATACATAGTTTTTGGGTTCCCACCTGTAAAAAACCTAACATCATTCTTCTCTTAGTACTATACAGAATAGGCAGAAAATACACAACTATATAGAAGAACTGAACAACACTATAAACCAACTTGAACTAGCTGACATTTACAGAATGCTTCCCTCACCAACAGAAGAATACATATTCTTTTTAAGTGTTCACAGAGCATTTATCATACTTTTTAGAAGTTTTAATAAATTAAAATCATACAAAGTATATTCTTAAACAATAATGAAATTAAACATAATATTAAAAAAATAAAGTATCTGTAAATTTCCCAAATTTCTAGAAATTATACAAGCATACTCCCAAATTAACCATGCTTCAAAGTCATCAGGAGAATTAGAAAACATTTAATTGAATGAAAATGAAAGTACAACATTTCCAAATTTGTGGAATGTAACTAACTAAAGCAGTGAGAAATCCATAGCATTAAATTCTTATACTAGAAAAGAAGAATGATCTCAAATCAATGTTTTAAGTTTTCACCTTAAAAACTAGGAAAAGAAGAGCAAATTAACCCCAAAGGAAGCAGAATAAAGGCAGTTATATTTTTTAAAACGTAGAAATCAATGAATGTGAGTGGAGAAAAATAATGAAGAAAATCAGAGTCCATAAACTGGTTCATTGAAAAGATCCATAATGTTGAGAAACTTCTAATCAAATTGACCAAGAAATAAGGAGGGAAGACACAGATTATCCATATCAAGAATGAAATGAGGGACATTGCTATAAACCCAATAGCATTGTAAGCATAATTAGGACATACTATTATCAACACAGCACACATAAATTTCATAATTTATTCTGTGAAAAGCATAATCTACCAAAGGTCACTGAAGAAGAATATACAACCTACGTTGTCGTATATCTACTAGTGAAAATTATTTTTTTCAACAAAACAACTCCATGCACAGATGGTTTCACTGGCCATTTCTACCACACATGTAAGGAAGAAATAATACCCATTCCACAAAAACTCTTTAAAAATATAACAGAGGAGGGAACACTTCCACGCTCCTTTTATGAGGCAAGACTTACCCTTATGCCAAAACCAGAAATAGATATTACAAGAAAACTACAGAATGATATCCATCATGAACACAGATGCAAAAATTTAACAAAATTCTATTAAGTACAATCCAGGAATGTATAAAAAGAATAATACATTACAACCAAGGGTGATTAATCCTAAGAAAGAAAGGTGGGTTCAACATTCAAAATTAATCAATGTAATTCACATTAAACAGACTAAAGGAGAAAAAAGGACATATGATTTTTTTCTTTTTTTTTTTTTGAGACAGAGTCTCACTCTGTTGCCCTGGCTAGAGTGCCGTGGCATCAGCCTATCTCACAGCAACCTCAAACTCCTGGGCTCAAGCGGTCCTTTCCACCTCAGCCTCATGAGTAGCTGGGACTACAGGCATGTGCCACCATGCCTGGCTAATTTTTTCTGTGTATTTTTAGTTGTCCAGCTAATTTCTTTTCTATTTTTAGTAGAGACGGGGTCTCGCTCTTGCTCTTGCTCCTGAGCTCAAACAATCCACCCACCTCGGCCTCCCAGAGTGTTAGGATTACAGTCGTGAGCCACCATGCCTGGCCGATATTTTTCTTAATAGGTACCAAAAAGTATTTGACAAAATTTAATATTCCTAATAAACAAGCTTCTCAGCAAATGTCTTAGTTTTGTATTGTTATAACAGAATACCACAGACTGGGAAATTTATAATGAACAGAAATGTATTTAGCTCATGGCTCTGGAGGCTGGGAAGTCCAATATCAAGAAGCTGATATTTGGCGAGGGCCTTCGGGCTGCATTATCTCATGGCAGAAGGACAGAAGAAGGAAGGGCAAGCGAGCGATAACAATATTAACGCATCCATGAGTGTTCCGCCCTTATGACCCAATCACCTCTTACTAGACCCTGCCTCCCAATATTGTTGCATTGGGGATTAAGCTTCCAACACATTAACTTTTGGGAAACACATTTAAAGTATAGCAGCAAGCTAGAAATAGAGGAGCATTTCTTCAATCTGATAAAAAGCATACAGGAAAAATCTATACCTAATATGAGACTAAATAATGAAAGACTAAGTATTCCCCCTACGATTGGAAACAAGGCAAAGACATTTACTTTCACCATTCTTATTTAATATGGTACTAGATGTCCTAACCAGTACAAGAGACAATAAAAAGAAATAAAAGGAATATATACTTGAAACAAAAATAGAAAATAGCATCTGTTTACAGATGACGTGATAGTCTAATGTAGAAAACCCTAAGGAATCTACAAAAAAAAACCTGCTGGATAAAAGAAGCAAGTGTAACAAGGTCACAGGATTCAAGGTCAATATGCAAATTACGAAAACAATTGTATTTATATATACTAGCAACAAACATTTGGAATTCAAAACTAAAAATCAGTACCATATACAATAGCACCTCCCCCCAGATGACCTTATGTGTAGACACCTGTCAGCTTACATTTTCTTTTGTTAATGTATTATATAACTGGACTCCTCAGGGCAACAATACTAATGCATTTAGTATAGTTATTATACTGATCATGTTGACGGGAAATCTAACAGGAATGGCATATGGACTAAACCACAGGGGCTTAGTGTAACTCCAAGGCACTGATCCCTCTTACTGAGGTAGGGAGAGCAGCAGTCAAGGGGGCAGAGTCTGGAATCAAACTTCTTTGTCCCCAAAAATTCATTGCATAACATAACAACTAGGTGTCAGTGTTCTCACGTGTTAAATGAGTAATATACCAACACTTTTTATAGAGATTTCCATTCAATATGCATTAATGTCTCAGATAGGTTTGTGTACTGTGACCTGAACAACAGCCCATCTATATCTCCAAACAGTGGACACTGAATAGTTTTATCTGATGTGACAACTCAAACTCATTCAATTTGTAGTGGCTGCCTGGAGCAGCATGCTCTGGCTTAGTGATGCTACCATGGCCATAGGAAGGTGGAATGATTCCACTTAATTTTTATTTAGTGCTTATGAATGCCACTGGTTCTAAATTCCAATATTTAAAAAAAAGTAACTTCATTATTTTTCCTAAACTGCATTTAATTTTTATATTGAGCCCCACAGATGGAAGAAAATTTAATAATTTCATATAAACGCAGTAAAGTCAAAGTTTGCCTCTCTTTCTTTCTCCTCAGTCTGACATATACATATTTCAAGGCAAGAATATGGAAGCACAGCGTGAGGTGTGATTTGTAGTCATTAAAATGTTCATTTATTCCATTGGTATTGGTCTTTGGCGTCTTTCCACCCTGTCTGCTGAGGCATTATGTTCCCAACTGCACTTAGTTCCCAAGGACCACCTTGCTATGCACTGCTGTATCTCCTCTCCCCACAACCCCAAGGCCACCTCCACTTTGGAGGCCCTTTCTTTTTCAACTTCTTCAATGCTCTTCTTGGGGACACTGATGTTTGAACAAATGCTTGTAGGAAAAGGTTAAAGAGATAGCTACATATATAATATTCCTGAACTTTGGTCACCAAAGCTTGTGCTCTTTACACTATGCTCTGACTTTACCTATTAAATAGGTAGAAGCTCATTTAACCTTCCCAGAAAGGAATTTGGATATATATGTAAAGGGAAAAATATTTAAATGATAGTTGACATTTCATCCAGAAATTCTCCTTCTAAAATTGTAATAACAAACACATTTGCAAAGATTTATGCAAAGAGTATTCATTGAAAAATTAACTTAATTTAAACAATCAGAGAAAACTGACATGACCAACAATAGGAAGTAGGAATAGTGAATATATTGAATATATGTCCTTCCATATAATGGACATGAAGAAGTCATTAAATATAGTAATGTAGATTTGTGCTTATTAACATGGAAATATGCCCATAGTACAGTGTACGTGTGAAAAATAGATGTTAAACTAATATATATTAAGTAATACTATTGTTTATAAAATAGTGTACATACATAAATAAATGGGAGAAAATGGAAAAATAAAACACTAAATTCTACAATGTGAGCCTGTATGATTTTTTATTTACTCATTTTATTTACCTTATAACTATATTTATAAAATATTCTCATGGTTTGACCCCTGAATTTATTTCCATTTGGGGTAAAGATATAGAACCTGAAGATTGTTTAAACTAGATGTCCTACCAGTTATTTACTACAATTTCATAGAAATAAGACTTGTCCTGGTCAAACACAAGACATTTTACTGTTCCTTTGAAATGTGCTGACCCTCCTGCTTTGTTGAACGCTGTAGGTTTATGGAACCGTCTTCCATATGAACCAGGGAAACCCATTCAATCTAAAGGTCCTGGTAGACAAGTGGCCTGATTTTAATACAGTGGTTGTCCGCCCTCAGGAGCAGGTAAGTTGCCAGATGTGGAATAAATATGCCACTATATTTATATTTTCTGTGTGCTTATCATGTGCCCGGCAATATGGTAGACCCCAGGGAAACAGAAATTAGTCATAGTGATGGTCAATAAGTCCCTTTTCTCAAGAATCTCACAGCCTGAGGAAACCACAGAGAAGTAGATAAATTTCAACATGGTGTGAAAATGTACAAGAACATACAAGAAATTTATATTTTTGTTTTAATAAATTGTTTTTGTTTAAAGAATATTTATGCTCTTTAAGATTATGCTTTAAGATACAGAAATAGCACCAGCAGAGAGACGATTAAAATTAGGGATGTCAGAGGTTGTGAGGAGAGGACCAGAGAAGCTTCCTGATAGACATTTCACCAAAACTGGATTTTGAAGGTAAATAGACATTTATAGCTTACAAGGTCTAGGGGTACAATCTAAGATGAGAAACTAACACCTAACAATATATGAAGGTGTATGTGAAGAATGTTAGGGAAATATAAAGAATAAGTTACAATGTCTGTATTTGGGAATATATTTTCAATACCAGACTTTAAAAAATAACTCAAACAAGGTGGTTAATACATTTCAAATATGACTATGTTTGAAACACATTAAAAAGGTAAAGTAAAATCCAAATCCAAGCATGTAATATCAATGTCATTGATACAGAATCATTTTCATATAAATTATTGAGAAATAAAATGTAAGTGTATATTGATTTTCAAGCAGAAAAGAAGGGACAATAATTACTTTCAAGAATACATAGGAAAGTATAAAACTCACTGGTAGAGGTAAATACAAACCCAGAATACTTCAATATTATATGGTGGTGTGCAAATCATACATATCTCTAGCATGAAGGTTAAAAGGCAAAATAGTCAAAAATAACTAAAGCTACAATAAGTTGTTAAGGAATCCACCATATGAAACGATGTAAATTGTAACATCAAAAACATAAATTGTGGAGGGAAGGGTAAAGTCTAGACTTTTTATATGTAACAGAAGTTAAGTTGTTATCCACTAAAAATAGCCCATTGTGACTATAAGATGTTTTATGTAAGCCTCATGGCAACCACAAAACGAAACACTACAGCATGTATAGAAATGAGAAAGAGAAAGGAATCAGAATCAAAGTTTAGCACTGCAGAAAATTACCAAATTACAAAAGCAGACAAAAATAGAGGATAAAAGAAACAAGGGATCTACAAAATAACCAAAAAACAAATAACAAAATGGCAATAGTAAGTCCTTACCTATCAATAATGACCTTGAATGTCAATGAATTCAATTCCCCAATCAAAAGAAAGACAATGGCTGATGAGTGGATTAAAAAATCAATATGTAACTATATTCTGCCTACAAGAGACCAACTTTAGCTTTTAGATCACACATCAGCTGAAAATGAAAGGATGGAAGAAGATATTTTATGTAAATATTAACTAAAAGAGAGTGGGATGGCTACACTGATAAAATAGGCTTCAAGTTCAAAACTGTCATAACAGAAAAAGAAGGTCATTACTTAATGATGAAAGGGTCAGTTCATCAAGAAGACATAACAATTCTTAATATATGGACATCCAACAATTAGGCACCTAAATACATAAATCAAATATTAATGAAAGTGAAGGGAGAAATAGATAGCAATATAATAATAGTAGGGGACTTCAATATCCCACTTTGAACAATGGCTAGATAAACAAGACAGAAAATTAATGCAGAAAAACTGGACTTGAATTTTACTTTAGACCAAAGGGACTTAACAGACATATTCAGCTATTCAGCAGCAACAGAATGGAAATACACAATTTTCTCTAGCACACATGGAAAATTCTACAGGGTAGGCCATATGTTAGGCCACAAAATAAGTCTTAACAAATATAAAAATATTAAATCATATCTAGTATCATTTAAGACCACAAAAGTGTGAAATTAGAAATCAGTAACAGGACTCTTGTAACATTCACAAATATGTGGAAATTAGACAGTGTGCTCCTGAACAACCTATAAGTCAAAGAAGGAATGAAAAGGAAAATTTAAAACTATCTTAAGAAAAATAACAATGGAAACACAACATACCACCACCTATGGGATACAGCAAAAGCAATTCTAAGAGGGAATTTTTCAGCAATAAATGTCTATATTAAAAGAGAAGAAAGATCCCAAATAAATAGTCTAACATCATGCCTCAAAGAAATAGAAAAGGAACAAACTAAACCTAAAGTTAGCAGAAAAAAGGAAATAATAAAGGTTAGAACAGAAATAAAATAAATAGGAAGTATAAAAACCATAGAAATTATCATTCGAACTGAGTTGGTTTTTTGAAAAAAATAAAATCAAATCCTTACCTAGAGAAGAAAATAGAGAAAACTCAAATAAATTAAATAAAACATGAAATTGAAGACATTACAACTGACATCTCAGAAATAAAAATGGTCATGAGGGACTATTACAAATAATTATATGCCAACAAATTCAAAGACCTAGAGAAAATGTATAAATTACTAGGAAAATACAACCTACCAAAACTGAATCAGGAAGAATTAGAAAGCCTGAACAGACCAATAATAAATTAAAAGATTAAAGAAGTGATCAAAAACCTCCCAACAAAGAAAGGCCCAGGACCAGATGATATCATGATTGAATTCTACCAAACATTCAAGAAGAATTAACTCTTCCAAAAAACAGAGCTAGAGGGAATACTCACAAACATGTTTTCTGGGGCTGGCATAACTTTAATACCTAAGGCACACAAAGGCATTACAAAACAACAACATTACAGGCCAGGTTCTGTAGTGATGAACACTGATGCCAAAATCTTCAATAAAACATTAACAAACTGAATTTAGCAATGAAACAAAAAAGATTATTCACCATGACCAAATGGGATTTATCCTTGGCATGCAAGACTGTTTTAACACATGCAAACCACTCAGTGTGAGACATCACATTGACAGAATGAAAGATAAAAACCACGTGATCGTCTCAATTGATGCAGAAAAACATTTGTCAAAGTCCAATATCCTTCCCTCCCTTCCTTCCTTCCTTCATCTCTCTTTTCTTTTCTTTCTTTTTCTCTCTTTCTCTTTCTTTCTTTTCTTTTCTTTCCTTGTTTTTCTCTCTCTCGCCTTCCTTCCTTCCTTCCTCCTTTCATTTCCTTCCTTCTTTCCTTTCTTCTTTCTTTTCCTTTTTTTAAGACAGAGTCTCACAAGTTGCCTGGGCCAGCCAATATCCTTTTTTGATAAAAAAAAAAAACAAAACAAAACCTCTTAATAGTTTAAGTACAGAATGAAAGTTTCTCAACACCATGAAGGCCATTCATGTAAAACACACAGATAACATTATGATCAATGGAGAAATACCGAAAGCTTTTCCACTAAGATGTGGTACAAGGCAAGGATACCCATTCTCACCACTTACATTCAACATAGTGCTGAAAGTACTAGCAAGAGCAATCAAACAAGAAAAAGAAATAAAAGGCATAGAAATCATAATGGAAGACCTAAAAATTATCTCTACTTGTAGATGACTGAGGAAAAAATACAAACTCCCCACCACATAACAGAATCAGTGTGCTGACCTGGAGTGCTCAGCAAAATTGTTACAAACTAGACAGAAAGGTACCAAGATATACACTGGGCCTGGGAAAAGTACCCAGCACTGTCCTGGGTGCCTCAGCACTTTCTTGCCCTGAAATAGCTGGATCAGAAGGAGCCCTGACTACTTTAGAACTGCTTTGGCTGTCTTATAGTGAGCTTTAGCTAATTGTAATACTAAAATCCCTACCTAGTGGAAAATCGTAATATCACTAACAACATGGGTTGCATGACAACATAAGATGGTTGGTACCATGGCTGTGTGGTATGTTTTCCTGTGAACAAGCACAGATAAAATGTAAAAACTTTGTACTACTCATTGGGAAGGCATCTAAAGCAACACAGCAGGATGGGCAGATGTGGATTTTTCATGCAAGAAAGCTCCTGAGGAAGAAATTCCTGTGCTGGCCAGGGACAAGTGCCCTAGTAAGTAACCTCTAATAAACTGGTCTAACTCATCAAGCTGGTCTTGTTTGAGTCATTCTTTGGTCTCTCCACAAAGACATTTTTGGATATCACACTAAAAGCTTAGGTTAAAAAGCAGAAATAAATAAATGGGGCTATAACAAATTTAAAAGCTTCTGCACAGCAAGGGAAATAATCATTAAAATAAAACACCAGCCCATGGACTGGGAAAATATGTGCGAACTATATATCTGATAAGGGGTTAACATTCAAAATTTATAAACAACACATACAACAGAATAATACAAAAACAATTTAAATATGGTCAAAACCTGAACAGACATTTCTCCATCCAAAGAAAACATAAAAATGACCAACGGTTACATGAAAAGTTGTGCAATATCATTAATCATCAGGGAAATGAAAATCAAAACTCCTATGAGATACCACTTCATACCTGTTAAGGTAGTTATTGTCAAAAGGCCAAAAGATAAACATTAGCAAGAGTATGTAGACAAGAGAACCCTTGTATACTGTTGGAGGGAATGTAAATTAGTATAGCCATTATGGAAAACAGTATGGAGGCTTCTAAAGAAATTAAAAATAGAACTACCACATAACCCAGCAAATCCTCTTCTGGGTACAGCAATCCCTCTTCTGGGTGTATATGCAAAGGAGATGAAATCATCATCTTGTAAAGATATCTGTATTCCCATATTCATTACACAATTATTTATAATAGTGGCAGTATAGAGACAACTTAAGTGTTCAACAGATGAATGGATAAAGAAACTGTGATATATGTGTTCGCTGGAATATTTTTGTTCTGCCTTGGAACAGGAGACTGTCATTTGCTACAACATGGATGAATGTGGAGGACATTATTCAAAGTGAAATACGCCAGACACAGTAAGAAAAATAGTACATGATCTCACTTATATGTGAAATCTTTTTTTTTTTATTTCAGCATATTATGGGGGTACAGATGATTAGGTTACACATGATGCCCTTGCCCTCCCTCCCCCTCAAGTCCGAGCTTCAAGTGTGTCCATTACCCCGGAGGTGCGTATCGCACTCATTGTTTGTGTATATGCCCGTCCCCTCTTTCCCCCCTCCCCCTGCCCAACATCTAATACATGTTATTCTTATATGTGCACTTAAATGTTGATCAGCTAATACCAATTTTTTTTTTATTTCAACATATTATGGGGGTACAGATGTTTAGGTTACATATGTTGCCCTTGCCCCCCCTCCCCCCCTAATGTCCATATGTCAAATATGTCCATTCTTTGGGTGGTGCGCATTGCACTCTTTGTGTATGCATATACCCGTCCCCTCTCCCCCTCCCTCCTCCTCCCCCCTGTCCAACATCCAATAGATGTTATTCTTATATGTGCACTTATGTGTTGATCAGTTAATACCAATTTGATGGTGAGTACATGTGGTGCTTGTCTTTCCATTCTTGGGATACCTCACGTAGTAGAATGCGTTCCAGCGCTATCCAGGAGAATACAAGAGGTGCTATATCACCATTGTTTCTTAAAGCTGAATAGTACTCCATGGTATACATATGCCACATTTTATTAATCCACTCATGTATTGATGGACATTTTGGTTGTTTCCACATCTTTGCAATTGTGAATTGTGTTGCTATGGTCATTCGAGTGCAGGTGTCTTTTTCATAGAGCAACTTTTGTTCTTTTGGATAGATGCCCAGTAATGGGATTGCTGGATCAAATGGTAGTTCTACTTGTATCTCTTTAAGGTATCTCCATATTGCTTTCCACAGAGGTTGCACTAATTAATATACAGAGATAGAGAATAAAATATTGGTTACAAAGGTTGGGGGAAAGGGAGGAAATTGGGAGATGTAGGTCAGAAGTACAAAGTAGCAGACGTGTAGGATAAATAAATCTAGATAGAGCTCTAATACACAACATGAGGACTATACATAATAAAATTGTGCTATATTTGGGATTCCTGCTAAATGAGTAGATTTTAGCTGCTCTTGTCACAAAAACAAAAGAATAATTATGCAAGATGATGGATATGTTAATTTCCTTCACTATGGTAAACATTTTACTATCTATATGTATCCCATATCATGTTGTATACCTTAAACGTACACAATAAAATTTATTTTAGAAAAACTAAACAAAACATAAAAATGAATAAATTTAAATTATGAAAATCTAAAAATGGAATATTTGATTTTGTAATGTGATTGTAAAAATACTGATTGGTACTTATATTATTGCTGAGTTATGAGTGCATATCTATGCAAAATTTTTCAGCTATTCTACACTAGCTGGATAGTTGTCTTTTGATCCTTCCTTCATCTTCAAATAATCCGACTTTATATTTGTTAACTTTGAGAAGATTTTTTGACCAAGTATCTTTCGATTTTGCTGGGAAGGCAAATGATTATTTTTTAAAAAATAGCACATTATGGTTCACATTTTAAAGACATTCCATGTCTACATTTTTGTATAGCTTCATCATGTGTAGATGGAAGTTTTAATATTGTCATGTTCATAGTACATTTGTTATGAAACTCTTTGAAATAGAGTAAGTTTTATTTTCGTAACAGAAGCTTGTCTTTGACCATAATACTTTTCTTTCTCCTAAAGATTACAGAATTATGGAAGAATCCTTTTAAAACTAATGCATGTTTGGTTAACTCAAAATTGTAATGCAACATATAAATATCTGGTTCAGCAGTGTTTTTTTTTAATCATAAGTTGACTGAGTCTCTGACTTGGTTTCGTGATGTACATGATTCAAGAATAATTATAATACATCAAAAATTGATATTTAATTTTGTAAAATAGCATAGTATAATGAAACACTAAACACAAATATTGCTATCTCGTGGTATAAACCATTTGATTTATTCCATGTTGTCCAACCAAACAGGAGATGACAGATGACTTTGATCACTACACCAACACCTACCTAATCTATTCGAAAGATCTCAAGAACTGTCAAGAATGTCTTGGCACATCAGATGTCATCAATTGGAAACAACATTTGCAGATCCAAAGTAAGGAGACTGGAATATAGGCTGGCTGTTGGGACCACCTGTGTCTACACTGTAGGGTCACTTTTCATCTGGAGCACATTCCTCTACAACCTTTATGTCTTTCTACCAAATTCTAGACTCTCAGCTTGATGTTCATTTATTGCACTAGCTGTCACCACCTCTTCAGGGGAGCAGAATTCAAATATTACAATATATGGGGTTGATATAAGGAACTGTGAGTAATGTAATTTCTTGTTAGCTGAGGATTCATGATACATTTTTCAGACATATTCAGGATCTTTTAGGATGGTTGCATGTGAGAGTAGAGCTTCTTCTCTGGCCTTTTATTCCTGGAATAACAAAGGCAGCTCATTGTGCCACAGAGCACCTCCCAGGTCACCGAGGACAACAGTAGCTGCAGTTATGAGCACAGCTGGTCTCTTGAGTCAGACTCCCCAGGGTGGCATCCTTTCTCTGCCCATTACTTGCTTTGTGTTCTTGTACAAGCGTCTTAACTATTACTCAGTGTCCTCATACATAAAAATAATGATAGTAAAAGACCCGAAAGCATAGGTTCAATATAAGGATTAACTGAAATATCAAATCAATACCTGGGAGTGTAGTATGTGCACAATCAAGATTGGCTACTATTTTAAAATACCACTTCTCCTTTGATTTCACAGTAATATACTAAGGATTTCTAGTATTATCTCTATTTTACCTAAGAAAACATTCTCAGGGAGTGACTTTCCCATGGTCACAGACTTAGTGCCAACATGTCAGACAAGACTGTCTGACTCTAAACCCTACATATTTTCACTGGGCAACTTCTTGTAGCATCTAAATGGGGGATTACTTCTCTCCTTTCTTTACTCCCATCCAGGTTCACAGCCCAGCCTGGATGAGGTGATACAAAGTCTTGTAGCTGCCAAATTTGTCAGGGTCAAGAAAACACAGTGCCTTCTCTATATGATGCCTAAGACAGCAAAGAAACTGGTTCCTTTCCTGCTGGAGACCAAGAACTTATGTCCTGAATCCGGCAGACCCAAGGCTATGTGAGTTTGGTGAAAGATACTCTTACTACTCACATCTTTTCCTGCTGAAATAGCCTCCCCCATTCTCTCCCTACATTCAATCTTGCCTCCCTAAAATCCATTTCCAGGGTGATACTGTTAGTACATAATGCAGATTATGTCATTGTCCTGCTTATAAGCCATTAATGTTTCTCAGCTGAATTTGAATAAAATCCAAAATCTTTCCTGGGTCTCAAAGGCTGTGCACAACCTGCACCCATCACCTCTTAAACTTCACCTTATCCCTCCTGCTCACTTCCACCACCAGCTCTGGCCTTCGTCTGCTACGTGATTCTCATACACTCACACATACCTCTGGGTCATTGCATTTGCTTTCCATCTCCTAAAAGTTTCTTCCCTCTGATCTTCATATATTTTTCCCTATTTTCCATTCATACTCTCCAATATCATTTTCTTTGACAGTTCTTTCCAAAGCACCCTACCTAAAACCACTTTCTCCTATAATTTTTCATTATAAAACCCAAGTTTTATTTGCTTTATTACACTTAACATTATCCAAAATAAGCTTATTTGTGTATTTATCTACTTGCCTGCTGTTTGAATCCTTCCCCGTGATATTTCACATCCCATGGGAGCAGAGGTCGTCTTTGTATTGTCCACTCATAGATCCTCAATAGCTAGAACAGTACCTGTCATCTAATAGGTGCTTAATAAATAGCATTTAATGAATCCACTTCACAGAGCAGAGGTTTTCCAATAAACAGAACTTAAACAAATTATATATTCCCCCCATTCATTTTTAGTCCAATATTAAGTAGAATTGAAAATCAATGATGAGGCTTTGATGTAGAGATACTCAATCTCTTGGTCCTCTGTGCTCTAACATGCCCAGAAGAGCTTTATTCACGTTGTAAAACACTTTCAACCTAAAAAGCGCCTCCATATCTAGAATTTCATGGATCCTCTTGTCCACCACCTGTGATAGGGCAGAAGACATTCTCCCCATTTCCTGGCAGAAAGCAGGCTCTGATGATGAAGTGGTTTGATCACCGTGTGCCTGGTCAAGGGTTTGAGTCTAGATCTTCCAGTTCCACATCCTGGGCTCTTTGCAGGAGGCCTGTTGCAACCCCTTTACACCATTGAAGGAGCCTTCAGACCTCAGTCCTCTGTAATGGTGGTCATCTGCACTCCATATTGCTATTCGTTCAACATTGTGGCCAAGGACCCTTTGACATCAGCATTCTAAGATTCCATGATTTGAAGCTCTGGCTATACATACAGCCTGCTAGAATGTGCTTTGGGGCACTCATTTATTTTCTGTTTACTCATTTTTCTCATCTATAAAATGGGGGTGATTATCACCTGACTCATCTTACATGAAGAATCACAGAAATATTAAGAACAATACTTAATTTTTTTTTTCTCGAGATAAAGTCTCACTCTGTTTCCCTGGGTATAGTACAGTGGCATCATTGTAGCTCACTGCAACCTGAAACTCCCAGGCTCAAGTGATCTTCCTGCCTCAGCCTCCCAAGTGGTGGGACTCCAGGCATGCACCACCACGCCTGGCTAATTTTTCTATTTTTAGTGGAGATAGAGTCTCGCTCTTACTCAGGCTGGTCTCAAACTCCTGAGCTCAAGCAGTCCTCCTGTCTCTGCCTCCCAGAGTCTAGGATTACAGGCATGAGCCACTGCCCCAGCTGAACAATACTTAGTTTTTATGAATTTTTTATTGTTTGTATGGTGCTGTCCTAGGTACCTTTCATACAAGAGTTATTATAATATTCACATCTGTCCTTTAATAGAGGTGCTATTAATAATATCCTCCTTTTATATGAGAAGAAATGGAGGCAGAAAGATATTAAGTTACTTGCCTGAGATGGCACAGCTAGTCACTTTATGAACCCAGGCAGTCTACCTGCTGAGACCATACCCTTAACCGTGCTCCTATTTGCCTCTCAAGACAATTTGGGCAAAAACAAATATAATACTTGAGAGTATGTGTGATATTATGAGCTGTTTCTTTTCCCTTTTTATCAACAGTAACCAAGAGATGTTTAAACTCTCATCTCTGGAAATCACCCATGCTGCCTTGGTGAATAAATTCTGGCATTTTGGTGGTAACGAGAGGAGCCAGAGATTCATCAAGCGCTGTATCCAGACCTTCCCCACTGTCTGTCTGCTAGGGCCTGAAGGGACCCCTGTATCCTGGGCCCTAATGGACTACACTGGAGAGATGCGGATGGCAGCCACCCTGCCTGAGTACCGGGGCCAAGGCCTTATCTCCTATATCAACTGTTTCCTGGCCCAGGTTCTGGAAAACCTTGGCTTCCCTGTGTACATACATACAGACAAAGCCAATAAAATTGTACAGAAAATGAGTCACACTCTGCATCATGTCCTCATGCCCTGTGACTGGAACCAGTGGAACTGTACACCTCTGTGAAACCAGCCCTGAATGTAAGTCAATGTTGGGTGGGCTGTGCATGTGGCTGGAGGAGTGGGTGGTGGACAGAGAGAAAGAACAAATTGTAATCAGTAGGAAGGGAGGGGGTGCTGTTCGGACTCTGGAAAAAAGTGTGAATGGCCAACAGGTTTGCACTCAAACTGTCCTTCCAGTCTAGCAGACCTGGTATGGTCAGATCTTCCTGTAGTATGACCCTTGGCTTTGCTCAATTTCCTACACACCTGGATCTCAGTGACACTTTTTATTCAGCTGCATGCTGCCCTAGTGCTCCTCCCGGAAACCCTGAATCTCACATATGGATTGCTGCCCGTGGACGAGTCTTGCCAGTTTTGCCAGGAGGTGACACTTATATCTCCTGGGTAGTATAACTTTTCCCTCTCTTTTTCTATGTCCTCTTTATTTTAGTGGCCAAAGTGTGTCCTATCTCTTCTGTAGGTATTTTTAAGTGATTCTTTCATGGATAGCCCTTTGATCTCTATTTAATAACCATACTAACATATTACCCACAATTATGTGACATTGGGTGTAGATGACACCTGGGAGTGTTAATAAAGGAGAGACGAACTGATGGTAGCATTTTTCCTCACTGCCACTCAAAGAAAGTGAGAACAGCATTATCTTCCTAAGGTTGGGTTAATTTCCACTGTCATAAGCACCCTACCATAAAGAAATTTTATGTTTGATTGCAGAAGTTAAGATAGAAGGGCCATCAGTCATAGGACATGGAGAGGAGATAGTTAGAAAAGATAAAAAGATAGATCAATAGTGACAAATATTCAATTATACCAATAAAGCACACTTACATAACCTTGACTTAATGTTACTGAATTTTTTATTGGTGTATCATTGTCACATATATTTTGGGGTACATGTGATGTTGTGATACATGCATATGGTGTGTAATGATCAAATCAGGGTAATTAGAGTATCCAGCACCTCAAGCATTTATCTTTTCTTTGTTTTGTGAATGCTATAATTTTTCTCCTATAGATATTTTGAAATATGTGGTAAATTATTGTTAACTATAATACTAATATTTATTTCTTTCTTTTTTATTCCTTTCTTCTTTTCTTTTTAAAAATGTATTTTCTTCAATGCGCACCACCCGAAGAATGGACATATTTGAAACTCGGACTTGGGGGGGGAGGGGGGGCAAGGGCAACATACGTAACCTACACATCTGTACCCCCATAATATGCTGAAATAATAAAAAAAAAACAAAAAGAAATGTATTTTCTTGAGGAAAATTCTAGGGACTGGAGTTAGTGACATCGAAATGAGACAAGATTGTCCTGCTTATTAACATGAAATTTTCATGCCCTTTGTCTAAACAGATCTATCTTATTCTCAATCATTTCCTCATTTCCCCAGCAACAATAGATAGTAACTGATTGCTTACTGTGTGTCAGCCACTGTTCTAGACATGTTGGACAAATACTGAGCAAAACATAAATCCCTTGTGGGGCTTACATTCTAATAGGTGATCACCTACTCATATAAAATAAAACGTATCAATAATATTATATAAACACTGAAGATGGGGCAGTAGAGGGTAGGGACTAGTGTGGAGCTGGACTCCTCAGATGAAAATCCCAGATCTGCCTTTAATCAACTAGAAAGTTGGGCAAATTATTTAACCTCTCTGTTTCCATTACTTCCTCATCTGTGCAATGAAGTATTATTTATTGAGAGGATCAAATGAGTAAGAAAATATAGGTGTAAAAAAGAACAATGTTTGGCACATTTTAAATACTCCAAAAATGTTAGTTATACTTTTTGTTATTAAACACTAGCACAGGTTCAATATGATTGTTATTCCATAGTGTATCTGTGAGGGGGGCAAGAAATGGTTAGCAAGTTCAGACTAACCTGTAAGATTTCCAGATTATAATTTTCTAATTAGATCCAAATCTGATACCAAGTTGGCATCTACTACCTGTATATGTTGTGTGACCCTTGAGTCAGAAATGCCAGTGGCAGAAAAAGGAAGTACACATTTCTATTGGCTGGAGTCCCAGTAGGGACACCCGGTGAAATTCCTCCGTTGAATTACCCAGGAAGCAAATACTAACTACACCTTTCCATGTTTTTTATGAAATATGCTGAATATAAAATGTTGAAGTGGTTTTTTTTTATTTTGAGACAGAGTCTCGCTTTGTTGCCTGGGCTAGAGTGAATGCCGTGGCGTCATCCTAGCTCACAGCAACCTCAAACTCCTGGACTCAAGCGATCCTCCTGCCTCAGCCTCCCGAGTAGCTGGGACTACAGGCATGCACCACCATGCTCGGCTAATTTTTTCTATATATTTTTAGTTGTCTGATTAATTTCTTTCTATTTTTAGTAGAGACGGGGTCTCGCTCTTGCTCAGGCTGGTCTTGAACTCCTGAGCTCAAACAATCTGCCCGCCTCGGCCTCTCATGAGTGCTAGGATTACAGGCGTGAGCCACCACGCCCGGCCTGAAGTGGTTTTTAACAAGGCATAGAATACTTTCAGGTATTATATATAATAACAAAAAACCCCACAGACTCCTGAATTCTAAGAAATGTCTGGCATGGACATTCATCATGGTTATTTAAAATTCTATATGAAATATCATTTTATCCAGGGTGATACTTACCTCACTGTCTTCTGTGGCTCCACATTCAGGGGTATATCCTCCATCTCTACCAGTCACCACTAGCACTACTGCTCAATGTCTTCTTTTTTTATTAAAATTATTTATTTCAGAGTATTACGGGATGCAAACGCTTTGGTTACCTAAATTGCCTTTGCACTGCCCGACAAGTGTGCCCATCCCCCAGATAGCATGCACCGCATCTGTTAGGTGTGGATTTAACCATCCCTTCCTCCCCCGCCTCACCTGCCCAACACCCTGACTTCCCATATGTGCACATTAGTGTTGATCAGTTAGTACCGATTTAATTGTGAGTACATGTGGTGTTTGTTTTTCCATTCTTGTGATTCTTCACTTAGAAGAATGGGCTCCAGCTCCATCCAAATAATGCAATAGGTGCTAGATCACCATTGTTTTTTGTGGCTGAGTAGAACTCCATGGTATACATATACCACATTTTGTTAATCCACTCATGTATTGATGGGCACTTGGATTGTTTCCACATCTTTGTAATTGTGAATTGTGCTGCTATAAACATTCTAAACTAGGTGGCACTTTTAACCTAGGTTTGCCCCAACTCTAGTAAATGATCAAGACACTGCCCAACTGAGGGAGGTTCCAAAGGGATTACCCTGCTGTGTGGGAAGGCTCACTAGGGTTTTGTGCCCAGGGTACCTGTGGAACAGACCTCCTGCAGCTACTCTGATTTGGCATCTCCTTTGGCTGGGTTCCATCGCAGAATTTCTGGGGATGAGGATGGTTTCTGATTGTCTCTGCCTATCCTCAAGAATATTTCTCTCTTCAGGCACAGTCCTACTCATGGTTAATGAAAGGCCATGTCTCCTGCTAGAGAACCCAAGAAGGTGGGGAAGCTGGTTGACCACCTTGTTTTCACTTTTTTCAGTATAGAAACTGTGAATTGCAAAGAGATTCTCTGTGCACTTGGTGTGTGGCAGAATCGGTGGGAGGAGCATTGTAACTGTGGAAGTCCCATTCTCTTACTGTCTGCTCAGAGCTTTTCCTCTTCTCTGTGGCCCCAGGAACTCTTATCCTCAAACTCAAGCTCTGGATTGTGGCTGGTGTAGCTCTTAGTGCTATGTATTTGTTTATGTTTTTGTTTTATTTTTAATGTGCACAGAGAAGCCAGCTTGCCTCTATGCCACCATTCTGGGACCAAGAGTCCTCATACGTTTCCTTTTTTCTTATTAATCTTTGGTTGGGTGTTTTATCAATTATGAAAAGTGGAGTATTTAATTCTCTATTATTGTATTGCTGTTCATTTTTTCCTTCAGTTCCATCAATGTTTACTTCATTTATTTGGATGTTCTGATGTTGGGTTCATATATATATATATATATATACATATATATATATATATATATATATACACACACACACACACATATATATATATAAATTTTATATCTTCTGGGAATATTGACCATTTTATCATTGTATAATTTTCTTTTAGCCTCCTTGGACAATTTTTTAATTTAAAGTCTAATTTTTCTGATATAAATATGATCATACTTGCTCTATTTTGGTTACCATATACCTGTAATATCTTTTTCCATTTCTTTGCTTTCAGCTTATGTGTGCTTTTAAATAAAAAGTGAGTCTCTTGTAAATAACACAGAGTTGGATCTTTTAAAACATTTTTAAGGGCTTTATCCTCTGTATTAAATTGGAGTATTGCCAGTGAGTATGCACCAGTCCAAATTGTCACCTTTGTTCTCAGTGACTCCCAGCCCAGGTCCCTTTCCTATTAGCACTCAGATTCTAGCAGGACAAAAACCAATCCTCGGACAAGGCATCCCCAAAAAGTTAGACTTTTGGGCTTATAGGCCGGTGCTCTCCTTTCCTCTCCAAAGAGAAGCCCGGGAGTTGGGGCCTTCCTCCAGATCATGTGGTGCTATGACAAGAGGACAGATTATGGTGGGAGGGTGCCAGATATATTCCTACTGGCTCCAGAACTGTGAGAAACAAATATTTGTTACCTAAACCACCCAGCTTATAGTGTTTTCATTATAGCAGCCTGAACAGAGTAAGACAATGGCATATCACACTAATCTTATCAACAATATTTCTTTTGTAAGCAAATTATAAGTGAAACAAATGTCCTTGTGCTGGAAGATGACATACAAATATTCTTGGGATGTAACTGAGACTGCTTGTCATGTCAAAACCCAGAGAAAATAAACTTGCAGCTCCACTCAAGATGAAGCGTGTGGGTTCTTTATACTTATGGGAAGTGTGTGGGTTCTTTATGCTCATGGGAATCTGGCTCTTCCATGCCAATCAAGGATAAAGACTACTTGTCTTCTGGGCCTCTCAGACCTTTCCAAATGTTCAGTTCTTTAGAATCCTCACTGGAATTTTCCTCCTTACAAAGAAGCTGAAGCAAAAAACCTTCAGGAATGCATTATAACACAGGTGGAGTAGACTTCAGGTGGAGTAGACTTATGACGGTGGGTAATCCTACTCGTAAGAAATGGTCATGTAAAACAGTCATTTCACATTTATTCTTTAATTTAGTTGACAAAATAAATAAACTCAGACCATAACCTGCCCCTTCCACACAAAAACAATCAGTTTAAATTATATAGTCCAAGTAGTTACGGGTAATGGAACAGACTTAATTTCTTTTGGAAGATGAATATCTCAGTTAAGAAAACAGAACCTTAATTCTGTTCGGCCTAGAATTTAAAAAGCTGGAAAAATCATTGCTCCCACCCCACCCTAACAATGAAACAAGGCTATATAAACTGTAAAATCATACATGTTCTAGAACTCATTCAGGATCTGAGGGCACAGGACAACCAAATAGGCTGAATTCCAAAAAAGGGCAGACTCTTCAGAGGTTAGAAACGATATAGTGACTTTCTCACCTGTGGCAGAGTGCAGGAAGAATGGTGGCTTCAATACAAGCAGATAAATAGAAATCAGTTAAAATTTTACTGAATTGTTGAAGGCTGAATGTGAGCTAGCATGACAATAGAAAATCTCGGGAAGCTCCAGACTCAAGAGTAGCTTCAAGTACTCAGACTCTCTCCAGGGGGTTCTCCAGGTGCTAACAGTAAAGACTGGGAGCAAACAGAAAACCAGACAGTGCCTGCCTTTGCAGGGAATGTCACTGTGGGAAAAATACGAAGCCCAACCCCTGCCTGGATTCTCTTCTATTAATTAAAACCCTTAAGCTGCTGGTGGAGTAACAAGAAAACCTGCCAATCTCGAGACACAAGTAAAGACTCACAGTTGCTAGGGAAGGGTCAAATAAATTAAGGTCCTCTACTCCTGGATAAGGACAGGATATTCTTCTGAGCTCAGGATTCTAGTCACACATTAGGAAGTATGTGCTACCACAGACGGTGGTAGTATTTTAGTCCATTTGTCTTTCTATAAAGGAATCCCTGAGGCTGAGTAATTTACAAAGAAGAGAGGTTTATTTGGCTCATGGTTCTGCAGCCTGTGTAAGAAGCATGGTGCCACAGCTGCTTCTGATGAGGGCCTCAGGCTGCTTCCACTCATGGCACAAGGCAAAGAGGCGCTGGCATGTAGAGATCATGTGGTGAAAGAGAGGATGAGAGCGAGGGGAGGGAGGTGCCAGGCTCTTTTCAACAATCAGTTCTCCAGGGAACTAAAAGAGGGAGAACCATTACTGCAAGGACTGCCTTCACGATCCAAACACCTCCTACCAGGCCCCTCCTCTAACACCTGGGACCACATTTCAACATGAGATTTGGAGGAGACAAACAAATTGTATGTAATATATAGCATTTCACCCCTGCACCGCCCCCCAAATCTCATGTCCATCTCACATTGCAAAATACAATCTTTCCATCCCAACAGTCCCCAAAAGTCCTAACTTGTTTTAGCACCAACTCAAAAGTCAAAAGTCCAAAGTTTCACCTGAAATTCAAGGCAAATGCTTTCCAGCTATCCTCCTATGAAAGCAAAAACAAGTTATTTATGTCCAAGATACAATGATCGCACAGACATTGGGTAAAAAGGTAAAGAACACTTTGGGATGTAATGCCAGCCACAGAGACAAGGCTGAGGTTGGCTGTCACGGAGGTGACAAAGAGGAATGCTGACAAAGCTCTACCTCTTAGGCATATGGGGCCTGCCTGACCAGGACAAGAGAGAATGTGCCCTGCTTTCACACCAGCAGCCTGAAAAGCATTGAGTAATAAGCTTCTTTCTCAGATATGAAGTTGTGTCCTTTCCTTCTACAAGTCTTCAAGACATAACAGATTTAGGGACATCTTTCCAGACTTTTCACAATTTACAACTCTCTCGCCAGCATAGGAAGGAAACATTTTTGAACATTTTGAAGTATGCCTGGTGTGGATTTGTCATCTCTTTTAACTTCCACCTAGATTACTTTCCTATACAATAGGAATATTTTTCTTACACTTCAAAATCAGCTCCAGGTAAGATGCAGATTATTTTTTTTAATTCTTTTTATGTGTTATCAAAGCATGGGTTAGCATTTGGCTATATATATATGTGTGTGTGTGTGTGTGTGTGTGTGTGTGTGTGTGTGTGTGTGTATAATTTTTAGAAACAAGGTCTCACTATGTTGCTCAGGCTGGTCTCAAACTCCCAGCTCATGTGATCCTTCTGCCTCAGCTTCCTGAGTAGCCTCCTACAGGCCTGTGTCACTATGCCCAGCTTGTCTGGCTGTATTTTCATAATGTTTTACCATGTGTAATTTTTGGGGTAGTAGAAACTCTATATGGAGGCAAGCTTCATCTAACACTGTAACGTAGATATGTATGCACTGGTATACTACAGGCATGTGCCACTATGCCCAGCTCGTCTGTCTATATATTGGTAATTTTTACCATGTATAATCTTTGGGTAGCAGAAACTCCAGATGGAGCCAAGCTTCATCTAACGCTGTAATGTAGGTATGTATGCACTGGTATATAGGACAAACTAGTCTGAAAAGTCCAAAATGAGTCTGTGAGATTTGATGAATTAAGGGATTTAATATGAGTCTTTTTTGTGGGTAAGGAAGTACACACATTTCTGCAGTAGAACAACATGGAAACTTTTAAAGAAATTTTTCTCTCCATTGTCTCACGAGTATGAGCCTTATGGAAAGGACTAGACATAGAACCTTAGGAAAAAATTTATTCTACTAAATATTTTACACACACATTTGTACATGCATAATGCACTATAGTAGATCATTATTTATTTAATACAACATTTCTATGTGCTTACCATGTACCGGGAACTTGTCTAAGTAATTATTTTCCAAGCAGTTATAACTATGCATATCTAAATTACAGAAAGGCAAACTCAGTTCTGCTTATATTTAGGATTTAGGATTTTTAGGATTTTTAAAGCTGGAAAAGCTATAGCTCCCACCCTGATGGTGAGACAAGGCTGGATAAACTACAAAACCGCGTATGTTCTGAAATTCAGTAGGGTGGTGAGGGCAAAGGGCAACTAAGTGGACTGAATTCTGATCAAGGACAGGCCCTTCTTAGGTAAGAAAGGACACACAGATTGTCTCAGCCATGGCAGAGCACAGGAAGGGCCCTTAATTTTCCCTCAAAACCCTACAAAGTAAGTACTATTATTTACTTAATTATTGATACATTAGTGGAGGCAAGGAAAGATGAAATAATTTAATCAAGGTTACACAGTAGGTAAGTGGTACAGTTAAGATCCACACCCTGTTAGTTTGGGACCATCACCCTCGCCACAACCCACTATGCTGTGCTCCCCCGTCATCATGGCCCGCCCTTCAGCCAGAACCCCAGAGAAAACCACTTAGAATGCTAAGTCATGCTGGTGCTCTGAACCTTTCCCCTTGCACCTGATCCTGAAGTGTGTGAGAAGGCTTACGTCTGTTATCACATACAACATTGCAAAATAATAACCACAGCGTTAAGAGCAGGAAAAATCTCTGGTTACCTCATACAACACATACTTTTTACAGCTGGGGCAACAAGACAGAGAGGTTAAGAAACTAGTCCAAGATATGAGGGCAGCAGACACCCTTGAATCCTGGTCTTTTGCCTGGCTGAGTGAGTGTGAGAGCTGAAGTAGAAGGATTAGGGGGCTGGAGGGGTCAGGTTTCCGTTATTGGGGTAAAGGAAGGACCCCAATCTTCGGCTGCAGTCAATTTTTGTGAGATACGAATTCCACACGAGGCTCCACTATGTTAACACTGACAGAACCATCTCAGTGGACTTTGGCCTTGGATGGGGAATTACTGATGAAAATGACTTCGATCCAAACAGAAAAGATTCAGAATTAATGTTCTAAGAGGGGCAGGACTCCTAGAAAGGACAAGGAAAGTAAATGCAAAATAAGCCCTGTAAATTTGCACTGCGCTGGTGCAGTGAGCGAAGGGACACACCAGCTTTTTATCCCGCTATCTCCACACTAGCCTTTTCTGTCCCTCTACCTTTGATTAAAGTGTCTCTTCTTCCCTCCAAAATGAAGCTTTTGACTCACTTAGGAACAAGGTGATGAGGACAAGGACCTGGAGAATGTCAAATTTCCCTTCTTAGTTGTTTCACACGGTGGAGTTGAGACCCAAAATATCTTTGCAATGAACCCTCCTTTCTTTTCTGAGGATGGCAGACCAAGGGTAATGTGGAGTAGTGGAGACTTGGGTCTGAAAAGGCTCTGGGCTTAATGCCTATCTAATTCAAACATGCCGAGCCTCAGTTTCCTTCCTTCTGTATAAAATGAGACTAAGAAGTGCCCACATTGAATCATTGTTGGGATGTTTCACTAAAGCCTCAAAACGAGCAGGAGAGAGGGCACAGATTATCCTAAAAAGGGAGGATCCTAACAGCTTCCTTCCCTCCATTCTAGTAATTTGCTCTTCTGCATACGCAGAAAAAAAAAAAGATTGGATTCTGCAAATCAGACCTCATCCACATCTTTCTCACCGCCTTGCTTCTGTTGAGGGTAATGGGAAGGGCAAGAAGAGGGGGATTTCCTCCTTAACCTGACCCTCCTTCCAGTATCTGGTCTGTTGGTTTCACACAGCTTTGGTTTGCACAGTAATTGCCAGAACATGTAGGGCAAAGAGCAATGTGGAAAGAGCAGGGTGGAAGAGAAGCTATGGGTGCACACTGCCAGCCTCCCCACTTTACAAAGCCAACTCTTTCAAAATGTAACTGTGAGGGGAAGGGTTGAAGTCCACTGGAGCTGACAACCAGAATTTTTTGCCAACATAGGGCAAAGACCGTATTATAAGCCTCGGCTCAGCAGTATCTGGAGGAAACACACCAAAACTCACTCGGCAAGACCCTGCTGTAGTGACTGCATTAGGAGGACATTTCATCTCCTGGAGGCTGCTATACATCCTTTGTTCCTAGGGACATCAACAAAGATTGGCGTGAAGAAAATTTTTCAGGTGAGGACACATCTCAAAGTAGCATATATGTAGGATGGACAAGTCTAGAGGTCTAACGCACAACATGAGAACTATAGGTGATAAAATTGTATTTTGACATTCATAGTAAATCAGTAGATTTTAGCTGCTCTCACCATACAAAAAATGGGTAACTATGTAAGATGATGGAGATGTTAATTTGCTTCACTGTAGTGGCCTTTTCCTATCTATATGTACCCTATAACATAATTTTTATACCTTAAATATACACAATAAAAATTTATTTTTTTTAAAAAAATAATTGCTTTGTGAAAACCCCTCCACTTATGTGAGTCGAATTGAAATGCACACATTGTGTTACATTCAGAACATTTAGGCAAATATGCTCAAGGAAAAGGAATGACTTCAACTACATATATCTGGCACTTGCTGTATAAAGGGCAGTTGGTCAAGGACCATAAGGAATTCTTAGAGGTTTCTGCTCTGAACTAATATCATACATGAATGAGGGGAGGTTTGGGTGCTTTCTGAAAACAAGTGAGTGAATGGAATACTTGTGCTAAAGTCAGAGAGGAAATAATTAGATTAATAAGAACAAGAATATAGACCGCACTTATTTTTATTTAAATCATGTAAAAATTTTTACTTTAAATATTTCAACTATAGTGCTGACTTCAACAGCACGTATACTAAAATTGGAACAATACATATAAGATTAGCATACCTCCTGCACAAGAATGACACACAAATTTGCAAAATGTTCCATAGTTTTTAAAAAGAAAATAAAGATTTCTACTATAATACCACTACCATAGTTTTTTTAATTTACCTGTGTTTTCTTTTAAATTTATACTTTACATGCTGTATATGAAATGTTTTATGTCCTATATTTTCTCATTTTAACACTCTTCCACACGTCTACATGTATTACATATTATGTTTGTATGTGTTATGTTAATGCCTTAGAGTTCCATCACCCTGCTAGATCATATGTTACATTACCTTCTTTTACTGTTAGACATTGGGATTTTGTTTAGTACTTGCTTATGTTTATGTGGCTTTAAAAAATCTGTTTAGACTTTTTTCTTCTTTTGAATCATTTTCTTTAGATTAATTTCCACTTCTGGAATAACTGGGTCAAAGATTCTGAAGTTCATGCACAAGGATGCTGCCCACTGCTCAATAACACTGACTACAGCAATTGTGTCATATTTTCAGGAAAATTTCAGTCTTCATAGTGTTCAGTCTACTCTATTTATTGGGTGCCATGCTTGGTTGTTACTTCATGCATAAATCCTTGGAGAGTGGTTCCAAATTGTACCCTTCAGAAAATATAGTAATATGACACCCCATACATTTGACATCAAACTCTACATTGAATCTTACACTCACGTAACTACCTTGTGAATTGCCTCTAAGTAAAAGATAAGATTAACCTTCAGGAATGTTATATTTTTACCATCCTAAGACCCTCAGATACAAGATACAAGTTTTCTTCCCTAGTCTAAAGTTTTCTTCAAAATATAACTTAACACAAAATAGCTGGAAATCATTTTATATCCTGTATATATTATGCACTCAACACATATATGTTGATTGAATGACTGTATTAATATCTCTGTACTTTTATAAAGAGAAGTGACTAGACAAAGTACTGCAAGCATTTCATGCACTCAGTCATTCATGAACCATTTATTAAGGCCCGACTATGTGCCAAATACCATGATAAACATTAATGATGGGAGAATAAATGGGCTTCCTGCCTCAGAGGAATTCACAATCTGGAAAATTGTAACTCAATTTTATTTTATTTTTTATAATTTTTATTTTAATTTCAGAATTCTATGTGGGTACAAACATTTGGGTTACACATAATGCCTATGCCTCACCCAAGCCAGAGCTTCCCCTATAAAGTGTGCTCTGCACCTATTGGTTGTGAGATTACCCACCCCCATGATCCTCCCCCCAACGTGACTGGAACCTTACGGATGTTACTACCATGTGAGCACCTTCGTGTTGATCAGTTAGTACCAATTTGATGGTGAGTACATGTGGTGCTTGTTTTTCCATTCTTGTGATACCTCACTTTGAAGGATGGGCTCCCACTTTATCCAGGATAATATAAGAGGTGCTAGGTCACCATTATTTTTTGTAGTTTGAGTAGTATTCCACGATATACATAGACCACATTTTATTAATCCATTCACATGTTGATGGGCATTTGGGTTGTTTCCACATCTTCGCACTTGTGAATTGTGCTGCCATAAACATTTGAGTGCAGATGTCTTTATTACAGAACATCTTTTTTTCCTTTGGGTAGATGCCTAGTAGTGGGATTGCTGGATCAAATCGTATTTCTGTTTTTAGCTCTTTGAGGTATCTCCAAATTATTTTCCACAGGGGTTGTACTAATCTGCAGTCCCACCAGCAGTGTAAGAATGTTCCTATTTCTCCACATCCTCGCCAGCATTTGTTATTTTGGTACTTTTTGATAGAGGCCATTCTCACTGGAGTTAGGTGGTATCTCATTGTGGTTTTGATTTGCATTTCCCTAATGATTAGAGATTTGAGCATTTTTTTAATATGTTTGCTGGCCATTATTCTGTCTTCTTTTGAAAAGTTTGTGTTCATGTCCTTTGCCCGTTTATTGATGGGGTTGTTTGATTTTTTTCTTCTTTTTTTTTTCTGTTATATAAGCTTGAATAGTATTATTATTTTTTTTTATTTCAGGGTATTGTGAGGGTACAAACATTATGGTTACGCTTTATGTCTTTGCCTCACCCAAGTGCGGGTTAAAGGCATGCCCTTC